ATACTATGTTACCATATATATATATATATATATATACATTCTAATTAATGGAAACTGAACTACTTTAGCATAAATCATTATTTATCTCTAGGTTGGAAGTCAACTGGAAAGTAGTATAAGACAATTTGGGAAAATGATGGAAATACTGCATTTCTTCAGTGGTTTGGTGACTGTAAGTGTGAATTTACTTGTAAAATCTCAGACAGCTTACTCTTAAAATGTGAATTTTAATATATAAATTATTCCTTATTTTTACATAAGATAAAGGGGATTGTGAAAGCAAAGGGAAAGTTAAAACACCTCCCTCGTCACATTTAAAAAAATCTAACCAGCAAGATTTATTCAAGGAATTGGAAATAAAGTATAAAATTGTAGAAATTAAACATGGTAATCCTAATATGGGGAGAAGAGCAAGAACAATAAAAAAAACAACTACCAGTGGTAACAACTTAAAATTAGTTGGTCACTAAAAGAACTTCAGTTAAAATGAGGGTTAGAGGCTCCAATTACCAGTTGAATACTTTCTAACAACACAAGAGGGAGCTCCACAGTCACAAAACTAGGATTATCAGTGTAGCCATCCTCTCTAACAGTCCAGGAAAACCAATCTCACACAAACAGGAATTCGGAAAAGGATCAAGTACATACCCAACAGAAAATTATTACGGGGGAAATAATCAATAGAGCATCTGTACAGAAAGTAACTGTGCCTGGTGCAGTGAAAACATAGATGTACTCTTAAATAAAGGAGTTGTTCTCCAGCTGATGGTGAAACTGTCAGTAGGCAGACTTCAGCTATCACCCTCTGCAGGTGCTTTCGTCAACAATATAGACATCTTATTCAAGGTAACAACCCCTCTGGTACTATATCCAAACATGGATTGATGCAGGTTGATAAAGTCTAGACTGTCATGGCACATCTCCAGACACCTCTAAATAGTCATTCTAGCTATACAGTTCTGTATTGGATTGATGAGGCTGTCAGTAGAAGTGCATTGAACTGCCCAATATGCTCTCCTAGGGGAGGACAAGTGTTAGTATCATGCATTTGTGACTGGACATCATATATACAAAACTGCCCTTCAGAACACAACCTGCAAAAGTCCTGGAAATGTGGCACAAATTAGATGAACACTACAACCAAAATAAGCAAACAGAAATTAAAGAAGTAATAAAGTACATTAAATAATAGCAAATATCAGAATTTAAAAGAACTCAGTTATGAGTAGCTGAAGGAAAATAAGTTTTAAAAAGAGGAGAAGTATCAAGAACCAAGTCAAAATGAAAAGAAATGAAGTCTAAACTTGGAATACTGAATAAATACGATGTATAAGACCATAAACGGAATAAAAGCAGATCTAAAGAGAGTGAAAAAAAACCTAAAATAATATTAGAGAATTTATTCTCTATAATTTTATTGTGACTAAATTTGAAAACTAACTAATATTGATGCATGGAATTACAAGCCATACATGTTAGAGAAGAGGGGGCTGGAAGTGAGAGTTCTATAATATTCTGGTTTTTACCTATTCATTGGTTACTTAATGATAATTCATTGATGTGTCAACCATGATTTGTACACTTTTTGTGTCTGTGTTTCATTATGAAAGCATACATGACATACTATATATCTGACTATGTAACAGTCAATATAGTCAATTGATTTTATAACAGTCAATGTATTTCACATGAGCATATTAATTTTCTCATATTTTACTTTGTGCATTTTCTGTATTTCAGTCTGGGAATTTCTTTCTTTTATGTTTAAGCCTCTGTGTGTCATGTTCAAGCCTTTTATAAATATCTGATGACTCCGGAAGTTCACATATATTCCTGAGAATGGCACTTAATGCTTGTTTGGAGCTCTCTGTACCTGTAAAGTGATTGAAGAACAGATGACTACAATGCAGAAAAGTCAGGCAAAATAATTCTGTTTTCATTAGTTGCAGTAATGAACTAAGCTCCTAAGCTCCATCACTTCCCCAGAAAGAGGTCTTCCTGTTTCCTAGCTTAAGCATTGAAGCCTGGCATTGAACCTGAGTCTGAATGTGGGAAAGGGACTGTGGATGCCCCAGACTAGGAGAGCACTTACAATCCTCTGCTTTGAGTACAGCTCCTTTCACTGCCTCAGCTCAGCTTAGTGGCTATACTCCAGAACTCCTCTGGTTTAATGGTCTTAAAAGTAAACTCCAAAATAGGCATGGTGGTACACACCTGAAATCTCAGCAGTCAGGAAGTGGAGGCAGGAGGATCATGAGATTGAGGCCAGCCTCAGCAATATGTTTATGTACAGACACAAGTTATATATAGCTATATGTAAGACCATGTCTCAAAAAAAAGTAAACTTCCAGTTTTATCTGTGTCTGAAAGAGACACAGGGCAAACTACATTACCTCAACCCCAATGGGAATCCACAGCCCCATTGCCACTGTATGAGCTTTTTGTTATTGCTTTGTGTTGAGATAGGTATAGAAATTGAATGTAAATTGGAAACTGTCTTTTCAAAATTTAATGCTACTGAGACCACACAGGCACATAACCAGTGGACACATCTTTGGACTGACAATAAAATAGTTCATATTTTTCATTTCATTTTTCTGGTAATTCACCTCCATTCTTTACTATTTTAATAATATATATAATTTATAGATAAAATTGCATGTATCATGTACAACACAATATTTGGAAGTATATGTACCATTGTACTTTCTTAGCATCTAGCAATTCATTTCATTATATTTTACTAAATTATTGACCTTCATAAGATGGAAAAAAGAACTACTTACTTGCTGATGATTGGAGATGTACTGAGGAGCTATGATATTTATTCAGACATTAAATCAATCTCATTCTTTTTGCTGTCACCTAGGTGACCCAACTCTGAAGGAAATGCTAAGATGTAGTCGTGTGTTATGAATTGGCTTACTTTTGTTTGGTTTCCCTCCCTTTTGCAGATGTGCTGCCAGACATCCTTTTGTCCCCTTTTATCATTGTTTCACTATCTCCAAGGTACTGTTCTATTCTGTTTACCTTATTGATGAGTGTTTTTATGTTTTATGCCTCATTATAATTTTAGTGTTTGTGGATATAGTACATACATTAAATCTTAAAAGTTCTATTTTGTACTTAAAAAGAAGACACCATAACAAAATTCGTAACTTAATGTTGCTAGAAACATAATGAAAAGCCATTAAACACAGATGCAATGAACATCTAGCACTATGAAACCCTGACAAGTCACACAAAAAATAATGATATGGTTTAGATAAAACAGTTCAATTAATTTAATAAAAATATTTCATGTAAGAACTGGAGAAAGGAAGATAAAATAGAAATAGAGCCAGTAATTTTAAAATATAGAAATATTATGATTTAATAAATTTTAACTTGAAAATCTAAATAAAATGAAGAAGAAAAATGAAGTTATATTTCTTCTTTAAAAAGGTAGTCACACATGGAATACAAACTTCAGTTTATTCATTATGTTTTACAAAATATATTGGTATTTGTAGCCAATCTGGAGGACTGCACCCAAAATGGAGAGGGGTCTGAAATTCAAGTCACATATGTAATAGAAAAAGTTCAGATTGTCATCATAACTGTCCCAAACATCTGTGAATTAAGATTAGACTCATTATATGACATGAAACAGAATCTATGATCTCAGAGGCAAACATCAGCTGAAATGTGGTGAAATAAAAACAAGAGCTATGTACAGCAGGAATATATATTTTGTGAAGTCTTTGATGTCAGTACGAGCTGGTTTCCCTCAGAGATAGTGATAAAGGAATTTCTGCATGAGTGAGAAGCAGGAACTAGATGACTACTAAAGTAGCTCTCTAACATTATATAGATTCATGATAGATTTAAAACTGAGTAGCTACTCCTTAATAAATTCAGGATGAAAGGTCATGTACACATCTTCAGCCTGACATAAGTGGGACAGGATGGCTGATCATTCTTTTTCATTCGTTTGTGAAATATACAGTCTATGTTTGCCTAAGTTAAAGCAATGGTCAAAATGACAGCCTGAAATGACTTTTAGGGAATCTGAATGAAATAAAATTCCTATCAGAGATGAACAAAACTTTGTTTAATGCAAGTCTTACATTCTGTATGGTTTTATGTTTTGCATATGATTTCTTTCACATATCTAGCAGATACAAAAATCCTTATGAAACAAAAAATAAATTACATTTTTCTATTTTCTATATATAAAACCTTAGAGATTCAGGCTTAAATCATGACATAACCAATAATCAGTTCTTAAATCATATAATTACTAATGTCATAATGTTTTCCCTATTATGCCATATTCAGGTGGGGAAACCTCATTTTAAGCTTAATATAATATTAAATAAAGAGTATAATCAGAGATATGGGACCAAGAAGACATATACAAGCAAGAAATGATGGTTGTTAATATCTTTTCTGAGAGTTATGAACTTAGAAAAAGAAGAGAAGGAGAAGAGGTATCCTTTATCACCACACACTTTATCCCCCTTTATCTTTATTTGTAGTGTATATTAATTGGATGAAGCAAGTGGTTTCAATTATGACACTTCCATACCTTGGAATGTGAACCTTGATCACATTCACCCCTGTATGTTTCTCTTTCTTTTCCCTCTTTTACCCTCCCCCTTTTCCCTTCTCCTTCCATATTCCTAATAGTCCACTTTTACTTCCATGTCCTTTTATTCCTCCTAGGTTCCACATATGAGAGAAAATATGTGATGATTATGTTTCTGAGTCTGACTCATTTCACATGATGATCTCCAGTTCCATTGAATCCCCTACAAATGACATAATTCCATTCTTCTTCATCTTTACCATAACTCCAAGAAAAAAATATTACTATCCTTGATTTACATAGGAAAACATTACGACCCAAAATGTCAGACAACTCATTCAAGATAACAGTTACAGAGACTATTTTCATGACTGAGAAAATTAACGTACAATTTTCCCAAATACATATGTGCTGCTGAGTAATGTTCTGATCATGAAGTTTTAAGAGAAAATGCAGTCTTCCCAATCACCTTCTGAATGGCCAGCTGTACATCTTTGTTCCTGAGGCTGTATACCATGGGGTTCAATAGTGGGGTGATGATAGTATAGGTTACTGTCACCAGCCTATCTCTTCCTGATGCATATTTGGATGAAGGTCTCAGGTAGACAAAGGATGCACATCCATAATGGACAATGACCACAATGAGGTGGGAAGCACAGGTAGAGAAGGCTTTTTGCTTGCCTTTGGCTGATGGAATTTTCAGGATGGTATGAACAATGAAGCCATAAGAGATGCAGATAAAAATCAGGGGCACTATAAGCACAAAGACCCCACAGATGAAGATGACCAATTCATTGACATAGGTTTCAGCATAGGCAAGACGGCTGACTGGTGAAATATCACAAAAATAGTGGTTAACTTTGTTTGAGCCACAGAAAGGGAGGCTGAAGACCAAAGTTGTTCCCATCAGAGATATTAGGAAGCCACTAACAATACATGTTGCTGCCAGTTGTCCACACACCCTCCAGCTCATGAGAATGGGGTAATGCAAAGGCTGGCATATGGCAGCATAGCGATCATAACCCATCACTCCCAGGAGCAAACAATTGGTGACAGCAAAACCAAGGAAGAAGAACATCTGGGTGGCACAACTCATGAATGAGATTGTCCTAAATACAGACAGTAGGTTGATAAGCATCTTGGGCAGTATGACAATTGTATAGAAGATCTCAGAAGTAGAAAGAATACCTAAAAAGAAGTACATGGGTGTGTGGAGGCTGTGATCCAAGCAGATGACTGAGATTATGGTGATATTTCCACTCAAGATGGTCAGATATAGGCAAAGAAACACCACAAAGAGGACAAGCTGCAGTTCTCTAAGACTGGAGAAACCCACTAATAGGAACTCGGTGACACAGGAGGAATTAGCCATGAAAAGATAATCCCATGGAATAAGACCAATATGATCAGATCCAGAGACCATTAAAACTGAGCAATCCAAGATTTATCTTCATAAAGTAGTTTTGCAGTCTTGTTTAAATGACATACAGCACACATGGGAGAGACAAACAAGGAATTAAAACTAACCAGGAATTGTTCTGCACTGATCTGTACCCAAGCTATCATTTTTCTGCTTATGATTTCAGCAGTGGGGCAAGGGTTCAGGATAAGGGTAATAGTCATTGGCGCAAATGAAGCCTGTTTTTCACGTCCCCTCTTTGGAGACTGAATTTTTTTACTAATCTAATCCTCAAAACACTTTTATCTACTTTAATTAGTATCTTCAGTGGTCAAACTTTTATCCTGATTACTGATATGTATGCATATATATTATATATATATGCTATTGATTATATATCAACTATATATAATTAATAGTATCAATGTTTGAGGGTACACATGCATACATCTACTTTTAATACATGCCTCATTTAGGGAAATATTCATTGATTTATCTTTGTAATGCTTGCCCTTTAACAACACAATACCATTCACAACTAATTATCTCCCTCATTTCCATGCAGTCATCCATTAAAATTAACTTGGTTTTGAATTGCTGCTGCTATCTTACATCTAGCTTTATGATTCCTCTAGAAGTATTATCAGATACTAGGCCTGATCTCTCCTTACAGAAAACACATGCATAGAAAATTTAGTGTCTCATCAAGCATTCATTAGTTGCCATTTTGTTGATTCAAACTAAGATGATTTTTACCTGACATGGAGGGCCAGAAAACTTTCATTCTTTGGACCTGTTTCTGAATTCATGAGTAGAGATGATCAGATACTTAAGACTTCTGGCACAGTTATTATTTCAGGCACTAGATTTTACATATTTTAAACAAAATCTTCTTGTCCTCTCCTACCTTCTGTCTAAGTGTGTTCCTTTGCCTAGATTCTGTATCTCAAAAATATTTTACAATACTCTTAGTCATTCAAGTTTTATTTTTTTATTTATTTTATTTTATTATTCATTTATTCACATGTGCATACATTGTTTGGATCATTTCTCCTAAGAAATGTTTAAACTCACAATTTTTCTCATCTACATTCAATCTATTTTTTTTCTGAAGAACATCTACATTTTTTTTATCTTTTCTGCAAGAAATTAGCCTCTTCCTTGAACTAACTACAAGAACATTATAAATCTACCCCTGAGGTTATCTCTTCTGTCTCTGAACCATCCTTTATAATAGCAGAAGAGTTGTTTTGTTATTGGACAAGCCCTATTATATTAGCAAAAGCAATCGACCTTCAACCATTCATAAAATAGTCTAGGTTTTTCATATCTTTCTACCTTTCTACTCATAACTGCTGCAATCTATTCCTTCATACACACTTTAGCATTCAGATATTTTTAGCAACCATGTCATATTTCACTCTACTTTCAACATCTAGAAATATTCCATTTTTATATTTACTGTTTTTCTTCTTTTAATTTCATGGAATTCTTTCAGTTTTCAATATAAAATATTCTTCACATGAAATCCTACAGCTTGATATTCAAGTTATACTACTTTCTCTGGGTTTCCTTAGTAATTATTGGAATTTTATTTGCTTTGCCACTTATATTATAAATTTTTCTTTAATGCTACAAATTATTACTTGCCAGCAACCAGAAACAGCACATACGACAGTGGTTGGGATATACTAACTGCTTTGAAGTTTATTGAAGAAAAATAAATGACCAATGATCTAATTTCTCCATCTCTCTTTTAAATCATTCTAAAATTTTCAGACAAATGGCATTTAACTCTGGGCATTTTCCAAACTTGCTAATTTTAATAATAATCTAGCATATAATATTAAACATTTCCTTCAACATTTTAGGATGAAAAATCTTTCTGACATCATTGTATGAATACAAAGCAAGAGTTCCATAAAAAAAAAATGAAGTCAGGGGCTCATTTGGTAAAACACTTGCCTCATATGTTCAAGGCCCTGGATTTGGTCTCCAAAGCTGCAAAAACAAATTGAAGCTATTTCATCTTTATTTCTGATCAAGTGGTCTTATCCATTGTCTTGCTAACTTTTTCAATTTGAATTTTTAAGCATTCTACTTTCAAACCTGAAATTCTTTGCAAATAACTAAATGACTATTGTTCTTTTGCTTAGACAAATGTTCAACAAAATTTTGAAATTTTCTAGAACCCAACAACTATTTCAATATATCATTGAACTTGACAGATGAAGAACATACACTATGCATTTGACTAGAGCAAAGGCCCCACTAATGTTCTTTCAGAGAACACTAATTCATCTCCACCTATTCCCTTTCCTGGTTTCCTTCCCAATACTAATAAGTAGGGTTAAGTGGATAACTAGCTCATGGAAAAACTGAAAAATTTCAAAATGTGACATACTAGTAAATTACTCAAAATTTGCTGCTCTTCACAATATGAAAATAACAGTCAATAAAAATAAAAAAGTTTCGTTGAATCTGGAGTTCTAGTGCTCTGTGACATGAAGAGGTCTTCATTCTCAAGCACTTCCTGGAAATCCCTGTGAAGGTTTCTGGGTGAAATTTGCCATGTTGTCTTTCCTGTCATGAGGCAGCAGGGCTCTTCTGCATTTTCCAGGAACTCTCCAGACCAGCATAAGAAAACAATGTTACTCTACAGAAAATTGCCACTGGGCCTTTTCTCCATGATTAGTTTAGGTTTTGCCTCAATCAATATCACCAATGGTCTTTTCTTTGTATATTGGCCATGACCACAATGCCTGGTTGGTAATTGAGATACCCACCTCCACAGGGAGCTAATTACCACATTGTGCCCATTACTAGTCCATAATTTTCTCAATTAGGAAGAACCCTGGTAATCCACCATGAGAATTATTTGGCCAAAGAGAAAGCCCTTTCTAATACATGCTAGGGATTAATTAGCTTCCTCTTACTCGTTCTCTGGGCACTCACTTAAGAGTGGAGGATACCTGAGCACAGATTGTTAAAACAGACATTAATGTAAGTGTCTCCTTTTGGCTTCCTCACACAAATGCCTCTATATTTTCATTCTTGAGTTGGAGAAAAATGTTTTATTAGTGTGTATTAATTATACAGAATAGTGGGTTTCACTGCAACATTTTCATACGTGACCATAACATTCTGAAAAAGATCTTTTAAAAAGCTACAGTATATTCTAACTTCTGCAAGCTAGAAAAGAGGAAGAAAGATGAAGAATAGAGGATTGAATATTAGAATGACAAAGATAGCATAAGCCTTTCGGCCAAATAGGAAACATTTATTTCTGGAGTATAATGTGAGTTTGGTAAATATTTCAATAAATGGTTCAATAAATAAGGAAAGAAGTTTGGGGTCTTGGAGAAAAATGTGCTAGGGCCCTGGTACCAATTTTAGAAGAGTCTATTAGTGCTCCCTGTAGTTCAGGTTGCATATTATTTCTTTCTCACAGTGCTTCTTCATACTTAAACTAAAAATGGGGCAAAAGCTAGACATTCATGGATGTCTCTCTGGGGAGTTATTGTAAACTGCACTTGTATGAATCATGCTAAGATGTTGCAGGAGTGGGAAAGTGAAAAAAATTCCCAAGTTATTAACTAAGGAACTTTTGGTGAGTTCTTTGTCCTTCAGTTACAGGTCAAATTGGGACAATAGCTAGATTTTTAGAAAATACTTTGCTGAGAAAGTTCATCCACAGACTTTAACTTCTTTCTGGATGTGCAGAAGATAAAAGATAGCTGAATATTTTGCTTTACACTTTTCACCTAGAGAGGTGGTGTATTTTCCCCTTTCTTTGAATATAGGTAGGTAGGCTTGGCAACTTATTTGTGCAATGCATTATAGCCAAAATGATGCTGTATTATTTTATAAACTCTGGTCTCTAGGTCTGGCAGCTTCTAGTTCCTGTTCTCTGAAGCATCCATTTTCATACCTTAGTCACCATCTTTTGGGGGAAATTCAAGCAGCCCTTAGAGAATCCTTGTGATGGGAAACCAAAGCTTTTGGGCAACATCTCCAGCTAAGCATGCATACAATAGCCAGCATGAACTAACCATCCACATGAGTAAAATCTTAGGAGTGGAATCTTCAGCCCCAGTTGAACCACCCATGCTGGACCCCATATAAAACAAATACAAGTTGTCTCCACTGAATCCCTTTCAAAATGGTAGATTCACATGCAAAATAAATAGTTATTGCTATATTAAGCAACCAAAGTTCCAGACAGCTTGTTATGCATCAATAAATAATGTCATAACAATTTGGTATCCAAAGCCAGAATATGGTTGTAATAAAAACTTAAGAGCCAGGCATGGTGGTACATGTGTATAATCCCAGCACTGTACAGGTATGGCCTATGCTACACAGTGAATTTGAGTTCAGCCTGGTCTACATAGTAAGACCATGTATCAAAAACAAAACAAAAACTTTAAAACATTTTTAAATGGAATAGCAGTATGAAGAATCTGCAAGGAATTCAAGGAGTCTGTTATGGAAGGTGAACATGTCATGAGGAAGCTATAGGTAAGGGTTTAAAGAACAGAGAAGAAAATGTCATTACAGTTTGGTTAAAAGGAGATACTCACTATCCATTGTTGGGAACATTGACAGTATTGTCCAAGGTCATATCTTAGAAAACAGAAATTTTTAATAAATTTTTGAGTCTTCCTGTGAAAATGTCTAGTGTGACTATAGAAAATGCCACTAATTACAAAATATGAGAAGAAAGAAATGAAGTGTTCAACTGAGGGTTTAGAGGAAATTACAGAATACAGAATTTGCCAGATTTGGAAATAAACCAATATGTATTGTGGATGTTTCTCATCCATTATCTCTTCCAGCAAAGACTCTCAGAGTAAGACATGGGTTCAGGGAAAAGATCAAATCCAAGATGCTGTCACCTAATAATCACCTCAGAATAATTATCTCAAGAATGAGGCTACAAGACCATTTGTTAGAACTCAGAAATATTTAATGATATGCATAGTAAGGTTTCTAAGTACCTTAAGAACATAAATCATCTAAGCTAATTAAAAAGGTCTTTTAAGAATCTTATAGCAGTCTCACAGGTGACCCATAATAAAGAAAAAATATTTGAATATGATTTTTGTTTGATGAAATGAATTTATCAATTAAAATATAACAAATTCCCAAAGTTTTTAAAAGGCATAATATCAACTTGTACTAAAGGATACAAATATATAGACCAGTGGAATAGACTAGAGGACTGGGATATGTATCCACACAGCTATGTCCACATTATTTTTGACAAAAGTGCCCAAAACACATGAAAAGACAGCCTCTTCCAACAAATGTTGCTGGGAAAAGTGGTTATCTGCCTGCAGAAAACTGAAACTAGATCAATACCTATCACCCTGCACTAGTATCAGCTCAAAGTGGATTAAGGACTTTAATATCAGACCTGAAAATCTAAAGTTAGTACAGAAAATAGCAGGAAATATTCTGGAAGCAATAGGTATAGGAAAGGACTTCCTCAATAGAATCCTAGCAGCTCAGCAACTAAGAGAAAGGATGGACAAATGGGACTACATGAAATTAAAAAGCTTCTGCACAACAAAAGAAATGGTCTCTAAACTGAAGAGACCACCCACAGAGTGGGAGAAAATATTCACTGGCTATACATCAGACAAAAGACTGATAACCAGAATATACAGGGAGCTCAAAAAATTAAACTCCCCCTAAATCAATGAACCAATAAAGAAGTGGGCAACTGAATTAAACAGAATTTTTTCAAAGGAAGAAATCCAAATGGCCAAAAAAACACATGAAAAAAAATGCTCACCATCCTTGGCCATAAAGGAAATGCAAACAAAACCATACTAAGATTCCAACTCCTCCTGTTAGAATAGCTATCATCAAAAACATTACCAACAACATATTCATGAAGCTGTGGGGAAAAAGGAACCCTCATACACTGCTGGTGGGAATGTAAGTTAATACAACCACTTTGGAAAACAATATGGAGGCTTCTTAAAAAACTAAAGATGTATCTGCCATATGATCCAGCGATACCACTCCTAGGGATATACCCGAAGGAATGCGACACAGCTTATTCCAAAGGCATCAGTACACCCATGTTTATTGCAGCACTATTCACAATATTCAAGTTATGGAAACAGTTAAGGTGCCCACTATTAAAGAATGGATTAAGAAAATGTGGTATTTATATACAGTGGAATTTTACTCAGTGACAAAGAAAAATGAAATTTTGTCAAGTAAATAGATGGAAGTGAAGAACATCATCTTAAGCAAAGTTAGCCAGGCTCAGAAGGCCAGAAATCATATGTTCTCCTTCATATGTGGATTATAGACCTCAAACAAAAGCAGTAATATTATTGGACATGGATCACACCAAGAGGAGAACATGTACAGGAGGAATAGGGAAAGGGAAGGAAATCTAAAAGTTGAAAATGTTTGATGTGCCCACAGTAGAGGGGTGAATAAAGTAATCTTAAACTGGCGGAGGCCACTATGGGAAGGGGACCAGGAAGTAGTGAAGAGGTCTGGTAGAGATGAACCAATTCAGGTTGCAATACACATGTGCATGAAAGCAATGCTAAGAATCTCTCTGTATAGCTATCTTTATCTCAAGCTAGCAAAAATGCTGTCTTTCTTATTATCTCTTAAGTTTGTCTTCAACAAAATTGGAGAAGAGGGCAGAACAGGTTCTGCCTGGAAGTGAGAGAGGTTGGGGAGAGCGGGAGGGGGTGGGGGGCAGAGGGGAGAAATGGCCTAACAATGTATATGCATATGAATAAATGTATAAACAATTAACAAAAAATTAAAAAAGAATACAGAATTAAAATGAAGAAACCTGTGAACCCCCAATTTTTATACGTAGAAGTATCAAACTGACAAAATGACATATCTGCAGATAGGACCTATATCAGTAGATAAGTTACAATGATAAGAATGTGGGAAAAAGACCTCATGTTATACTCAAAAGCCAAAGAGAATCAGTCTCATGAAACAGAACTGGGTATAGGATGAGAGTTGATCAATGTGTTGAGTGTAAAGTGTATTTCTGGAGCTTCCTACTTAGTTATCACTTACTTATCACACAATGTAATTATATTAATGTCTACATATTCTGTATTCAGAAACCTTAAATACAGAAATACATATTCATACATTTAAATGAATATGATCTAGAATAGCACTACTCCAGGTAGCTGTATGTGCTAGCCTAATCAGGACAGCTTTTCTTTTTATCCTACATTGAACTTTTTGGAAATTTAATATTGAACAGGAAGATAAATCCATTCAGGGGATCTAGGAAATAGCAGCAGGGATGCTAGTCAATTATAAAACATAAAATATGTGACATAAAGATATGAATAAATTTTCAAGCTGGCAAAAGGAAACATTATAATAGAGTGTTAAAAGTGAAAAAGAAAAGATAAAATAGTAAAAACAGTTAAATGGTTTATATGAGTTTGGCCACAGAAAAGGAAGTTCATTAGCTGGATCTATGGGTAGACTTATGTCTACCCTATAAACTTATTGAATTGTAAGCAAGTGTTTTTTCAGCTTATGTGAATGAGAACAAAGGATTACATGTTGCAATGTGTGACTTGGAGTGATTGAAGTGATTATCCATGGTCATATCACTGGTCAAACTAATGATTTGACTCTATGTATGACTAGAGTAGCTTTCTGAACTCAATATTTACCAATAAAACCATCCTAACACCTTCCTCTATGAAAAAAACAAGCAAAACGTTACATGATATTTTTCTAAAGTTTTCCGATCTTAGTTTCAATTGAGGAACCAAAGTTGAGAGAATAAAATGTAATTATTACTTTTAAATATATAAACATGTTGTGCTAAAAAAAGGGAGCAAATATAGTCTCAGGGGGATGTTACTGGATTTCTTGATCTTTTTGCCTTCTTTCTCTTCCAGAGTTAGTAACTACTTTGATAGTTATCTCCTGGAGATAAAAAGATAGAGCACACTGCTATTTGAGTCCACCTGAGAAATTTGAATATGGAAATCTGATTATTGGCCTGAAATACAAGAATTTATAGAAAGATGTCTGCTCTTCAAATGACAATGGGTGGCAAAGATGATCACAGATTACTTTTGGACTAGATATGGGCAAGTTAGGAGGACAAAGTCATTCTGGAATCAGTTTTTCCAAATCAAGTTTTCCAAATAAGACTTCCAGAAGATATGTGACCCAGAAAGGTAATGAGCTTTCAGAATTAAGTAAATTCACAGCTGTCAGCCAGAGGCATCTTCAACTGAATCACAGGAAGTATGGTATAGGTACCCAGTAGTGATTTATTCCAGAAACCATCCCCACATGAACAAGACCCATTGTGTAACATCTGCAAAGCCCTGAGAGCAGCATTTCCAGAGCATGACAGATGCAATCACAGGAACTTTCCTCTACCTCCTTCCCTCTGAAATGTAGTTCTTGAGGTACCAAGCACTAGAGTAAGTGGAGAGAATATTGGTTGTTGATAGAGATAGTCTATACATCAACCTTTATTGGTCCCAGTGTAGCTGTCCCTATTTAAACAAGACCAATGACAGGGAAAGGGAGAAATTTTAGCTTTGGATTAAAAGTAGAATATTAGTTATTACAGTGGATGTGGCATTTAAATTTGAGGGGCTGCATGAGATTCCATCTGAGAAGCAAAAAAATCATTGACTTGATACTTAATTTAAAGGGATCGTAAGACGATAAACATTTTATGATATAAATCTTAGAGTCCTATTATTTCTTTTCTTTTGGGGGAGAGGTGGAGATCAAACTCAGAGCCTTGTTCATGCCAGGAAATCTGCCACTGAGCCATATATCCCTAGCCCCAAAAGTCCTATTACTTCAATGACTCTGTTACAGATATAATATAATTTGCATGTGGTAATAATATTTTAATTATATGGTTTTAGAGATTTTTTTCTTGCCCAACAGTTTTCTGATAGCAAGTTGGACATCCTTATTTCTGAGGCTGTATACCATGGGGTTTAGTAAGGGAGTGACAATGGTGTAAGTCACTGTCACCAGCTTGTCCTTATTGGATGCATAGTTTGCTGTAGGCCTCAGGTAGATGAAGGAAGCACAGCCATAGTGAACAACTACAACAGTGAGGTGAGAAGCACAGGTGGAAAAGGCTTTCTGTTTACCCTCAGTTGATGGAATCTTCAGGATAGTCCTCAGAATGCAGACGTAAGAAACACAAATGAAGAAAAAGGGAACCACAAGTACAAGAACCCCACAGATGAATATAACAAATTCATGAACATCTGTATTAGTACAAGCCAAGCGAATGACTGGTGAAATGTCACAAAAGTAATGGTTGACCTTATTGGCACTACAGAAAGGGAGGCTGAAAACCAAATTTACCACTGCAAGTGAGGCCAAGAAGCCTCCAATCCCACAGGCAGCTGCCAGTTTTCCACATACCTGCCAACTGATAAGGATGGGGTAATGCAGAGGGTGACAAATGGCAGCATAGCGATCATAACCCATTACACCCAACATCAAGCAGTTGGTAATAGCAAAACCAAGGAAGAAAAACATTTGAATGGCACAACAGGTGAAGGAGATTGTCCTGGCCACAGAAAGTAAATTGGTGAGCATCTTGGGTAGGATGACGAAGGTGTAGAAGGTCTCAGATGTTGAGAGAATACCAAGGAAAAAGTACATTGGTGTGTGGAGGCTCTGATCCAGGCGAATGACACTGATAATAGTAGCATTGCCACTGAGAATAACTAGATATAGGAAGAGAAAAACTACAAAGAGAGCAAGCTGAACTTCACCAAGGCTTGAAAAACCCAACAACAAGAATTCAGTAATCATGGTGAGGTTTTCTGCCAACACCTGCAGAGAAGAGGGAAAGAAAGCATTCGTGTACATGATCTAGGAATCTTGTGTCTGTGTTCCTTTCTGGAGGTACCAGCGAAGAATTTTGCCTTTTGCATGTCTTTTCCAGATATATAGCTGTTTGTGATTTTCTAGCATAAGTTAATAAAATTTAATAATTAGCAAAGACAAGAATACTTTTCATCCATGTAGAATCTTATTAAGTAAAATTACCTTACGTCAAATTTATTCTGCTTATTACATACTTCCATCTGCCCTCAAGTTCTAATAAGTAGACATTAAGAATCTCTTAAATTCTGCTTTGTGCCATACACTAACAGATATTGGCTGGAAGTAGAACTTTGATTAAGGATTAATAAAAAGGAAAAACTCATTGAAATAAACCATCTTGGAACATAACAAAGAAAGAATGATAAAGACTAGAAAATAATCGAATTATATATAATGGAGTTCAGCAAATAATCATTCTACAACAAAATAACAAAAACAAAAACAGCCATAGACAGAAGACAACTCGAGCCATAGTAATTAACATTAGGTAAATGTAGAAAAACTTTTAAAAGGTTGGAGAGAAAATGATATAGAAGACAATACAAGGCAGGTCCAATATGCACATTACTGAATCCCTATGAAACAACTCAATATTTAAAACTGCTAACAGAAGGTCCCCTGAATAAAAGACCAGCATCTCTATATTGAAATAATCCATCACATTTTCATCATATTCATATTACTGACTATTCAAAGATTCCTTAACCTTGAACAGTGTCAAGTCTCAAACACATTTTAGCAAAACCATTACATTTAATTATAAGAAAAATATCTATAATTCTGAGCAAAAATACTGATCAATAACAATAAAAAGAAAATGTATTTCTTGGTAGGAATACACAATGAAAGACGAGTGTTGTGGCCTTCAAGAAATTGGAAGAAGGAAAGCTCAACTAAGGAAATTTCATGCATAGATGTATAGTCCTTAGATACAAACACACAGAAAAATAATTTTAAACGTGCTAATGCTCCCAAATATTAAACCTCTAGATTTTCTTGATGAATATCTTAGGTTAAGTGTTCTGTTCATCAACAGATATGTGGTGGGCCGTTTAATGAAAACATTAGCTTTTGGATAAATTAGTAAATGAATAAATGCATCTACTTCTAGATCCAAGACTCAAGTAAAGGTAATAAGGGTGGATGTAAAGTATGTAAGTGTCATATTCTTGACAAAATAGTACATTAAGGAGACTTAAGAGAGAAATGAAAACAGTAAGAAAAGTTTTCTTACTGCTGTATGAATTAGAGATGTGACTCAATGGCTGCCACTTAAAACAGATGGATCAAACAGTAAATGCCTAAAGAAATGAGTAAAAAAAAAAAGAAAAACCAGATATTTTTAAAGCAGAACTTAACTCTGTGTATAACATAAGACATGACTATAACAAAATGATTCAGAAAGGTTAAAAATAGAGAGGGGGAAATTATGCAAAACACAAACTATAAAACAAACATAGAGATCTTGATATTTGAAATTTTAAAATGCAGGCCAGGAATATTAAGTAAATAACAAAAACAACAATATAAACCTACTTTTAATGCAAATAGCTGCAATTCATGATGAAATTAATGTCTATTGTTCTCCACTTCCAAATACAGGTGTAACCTTCATAACAAAGATACAATAAAGGATATACAAAGGAGAAACAGGTACACAAATAATAGATAACATAAACATACCATTCTGTTCAAAGCAGATGAAGAACACTAAGACTAAGGGTTTAGGAGTCCTAAACAGCAAGTCAGTAAAGTGAATCTTATAGTCATATTGAGCTTTATATTTTAAAAAAGTGTACACATTTTCTTTTCAAAGCCTGTGGAATTTTTGTGAATATTGATGATTAAGCACAATAAAAACTTTAATCAGTGTCACAAAGCAGAAAGGATACAAATAATATCCTCTAATCTTAGTAAAATAAACTATTAATGGATAATAGAAGGATCTTTCACTAGAGAATTTTTAAATACTTGTTGGATCAAAGGGAAAGCACAAAGCAAAATTAAATGAGTTCCAGGAAATAATGTTAATTAAACCTTGCATGTAAGAATATATGGCTACATTTATGATAGGATTAGAAGAAAATACATGCTTTAATTATCTATATAAATTCAAAATTTAAAATATGAACTATATCAATACCATCTAAACTATTTGTAACATATAACTCAAGGAATGTATCTTTAATAAATATTAAAATCAACTTAAAATTCAACTCAATGTTCAAAAAAAATTTTTTATTCATATGTACATACAATGTTTGGGTCATTTCTCCCCCGTTCTTCATCCTCTCCCTTACCCTCCTACCCCCTCCCTCTCCCCCTACACCCCCTCGCTACCAGGCAGAAACTATTTTGCCCTTATTTCTAATTTTGTTGTAGAGAGAGTATAAGCAATAATAGGAAGGACCAAGGGTTTTTGCTAGTTGAGATAATGATAGCTATACAGGGAGTTGACTCACATTGCTTTCCTGTGCATATGTGTTACCTTCTAAATTAATTCTTCTCGAACTAACCTTTTCTCTAGTCCCTGGTCCCCTTCTCCTATTGGCCTCTATCACTTTAAAGTATCTGCATTAGTTTCTCTGCATTGAGGGCAATAAATGTTACCTAGTTTTTTGGGTGAGATAAAAGAGGAAATTAAAAGGTATCAAAAAATCTTTTGCAACTGGGAATGGTGGCTCATTCCTGTTATCCTTGCTATTTGAGAGACAGAGATAGAAGGATTGCAGTTTGAGGCCAGTCCCATGCAAAAGAAGTCAGTAAGATCCTATCTCAAAAACTAAACTGGGAGTGTTAGTTTATGCCTATAATACCAGTTCCTTGGGAATCCAAGGTTGGAAGATAATGGTCCAAAGATGGACCATGAAAAAGTATAAGACCCTACCTAAAAAAAAAAGAAACTAAAGTATAAGGACGAGGGACATGACTCACATGGTAAAGTGCTTGCCTACCAAGGTCAAGGTCCTGAGTTCAACTCGCAGTACCTCAAAAAAAATTATGTTAATAAAACACAAAAACTTTAAAGAATCTGAAAATATGTATCACTGGAAAATATAAATTTGAATTTAAGCCTGCTGAAATATTATCAGAGTGGAAAATAAGCAACAATTTGACTATATAAAGTAAAACTTTATTTACAATAAAAGCACAATCAGAAATTTTAGAAAGCAGTCAGTCATGGTGCTTCATGCCTATACCTCTTAGTTACGTGGGATGTAGAGGCAGGAGAATAGCAAGTTTGAAGCCTGGGCAAAGTTAGATACACCCTATATCAAAAAACAATGAAAATACAAACAAAAGTAGTGGGGGAGTGCTTCAAGTGGTACAAGTAATTACCTAAGGTATGCAAGGTTCTGAATTCAATTCCCAGTGACACACACACAAAGGAAACAACAAAAGGAATTCCAACAAATGGAATGGATATTAATGAAAAATTTATAAACTGATGGAGAAAATAACCAAAACCGTAGTGAAAATGGATATCAAAATATAGCTTAGAAAATAGGAATAGAGTGCATCAAGCATAGAAAAATTCATCTTGCTTCATTTAAAATTAAACTTATAAAACATTTATACTCATATAGCAGTATGGATTGATCATGGCTAAATGACTAGCAGCAAATAGTTGCTAGTGGGATTATACACTGGTTATACATTTCTGCAAATGAATTCAAAAAAGGTATCCAGCTCTTCGGATATATTCCTCCAATATTATTACAGTAATTCAATTTTTAAAGTTTACCATACTGTAACAAATTTATACAAAAGATAGATTTATAGTAAGGAATATTTGAAAATCACAGTTCAAACCAACAGTATTGCGTTTAAGAGGTTCAATAGTATTCCCAATGGTGAGAGAATGGAACCTAAAAGCAGGTATCTCATATTTGGGTCCTGGTTCTTCTATTGGGTGACTGTGAGATCCTGAACAACTTACTTTGCCACTCTGTTACAGTTTTCTCATATAGAAAGTAGGCTGTTGTTAATAATAATTATATTAACATAGGTAAAGTAGTAAGAACTATACCTGCTTCAATAAGAACCACTCTATCTGTGATATCATTTTATTCACCATTTTTTTTTACTACCCAGAAAAATTCTCTGTTCTATGACAGCAATTTTGAAACTTTATGGTTATTCCATCATGTGTTTATAGAATTAACTTAGTGGTCAACATCTTCAGTTTTTAAGTCTACATATAGAGCAGGTGAGAAAATCTGATCAGTCATTTCTTAAAGTGAGTCTTTTATTTCAGTATGTGTGTGTGTGTGTGTGTGTGTGTGTGTGTGTGTGTGTGTGTGTGAATGTACATATACATACTAGGTGGCAATTAAAATATATTCATTACTTTCTCTTGCAAACAGAGCTATGGATAAAGGATATACAAATCACTGGACTGAACAACAGAGTCAGCAACATGTCATTGGAGAATGAACTTTCTGTATGTCATCAGGCCCCCTAATTACCATATGTGGTGTTTTTTCCATGAGTGGCTCTTCTCTAGATACAGAACTGTAGGATCTGAAAAGAATCAGTGTTTGTGGGAAAAAAATCCCAGGACTTTCTTTATTTTCAGTTTTGTCTTTCTTCCTTCAACCTCAGGACTAAAGGCAGAAATGAGCAGAGATAAAATCATTCAAGGAAGGAAGCTACAGATTTTTTTTTTTTGTTTACCTCCACTCATGTTGACCTGGGAAGGGTGATTGGAAGAGATTATTTCCCAGAGGAAATAATTATTTAGGAAGCAGAAGTACATGAAGGCATGCCATTGTGAACATGGGAACAGCTTGCAGAAGATGGGAACAGGTAAGAGAATGAACAGCAAAGTAGCTGTTGACACAGTTCAACTGAGAAGTGGCAGTCCTGGGGACAAGCAAATGTACTTTCACCCAAATACCTTCTTATTTCAAGTCTCATAATGGTCCCTGAAAGCTTTATAAAGTCCAAAGTCCTGAGGAAAAGAAAGAAAATATGAAAGGAAAAT